AATTTGGTATGTGGATGGAAGGCGGTGAGGACTATCATATATATTCCGATTTTTGCGAAATTCAAAAAACTTTTTGAATTTTTCGATCATTATATCCAAAAAAATTATTTTTTGATTTTTGGGGGTCAAAATCCAAAAATTTCAAAAATCCGAGATAGCAGTTTTGTAGCCCTGTCAATTTTACAGCTTTTATGTCCTTATCATTTTTCTGTATTTGCAAAGCTATAGGCCTGACAGCTCTTCCCGCGAAACCCTTTTTTGGGTCGAAAACGGAAGAACATGACGTCACTCTGACGTCAGTTCCGGCCAACCTATCATAGCTTTTGGAAAAAATTTTTGGTCACCATGTGTAAAATTGATGTCCGGGAGGGTACTGAAAGTTTGGTGACGATCGGCGCAGCGGTTCTGGAGATATATCGAAAAGTCTGGAGGGGGGGGGGCAAAAAATAGCCCCCCCACCAGGTCGCGGGTTAAGCCCCGTCACCAGGTCATAAAAAGCGGTGCGGATTCAGAATGAAAAGGAAATGATTTAGCGGATTGAGAATCACTACGTCTTCAGCAGACAGCGTAAAAACGGAGGCGAACAACTCAATCAAATTTGTCATTATAGTATATGAGGCATCTCTTCGTCACAAATCTCGAGAATTTCAAGTCCAAGTGACATTGCGTCAGGTCCCCAAGCTACGTAAACGGTCCTGCAGTGAAAGAAACGGTCCTCAAAATAAGGAATAAGTGTGGCCTTTTTTGCTTTGACATCCAGAGTTTCGCATTGATTTCTTTAAACCCTTGCCAGCATTGGTGTTGCGCCAGCGTCTAACGTATAGGACGGGGTCCGCTGGACCCCCTGCCGTTCGGCCTTTGATCAAGCTAGCGCTTAGCAGAGAAACAAACGGTTGCACGTGACAAAAGGAAGCCAATGGTACCCAATGTTAAGATCCTACGTCGTCGGTTGACCTTCCAGGTCAGGTTAATAACCCAAAAGTCGGGAAAATTGGGACCTATACTAGAACTTCGTAAAGTGAGGTTGTTTTTGTTCAGGGTGCTGAATACGAATTTTATGTTAGTTTTGATCACAGATGATGTTTTCATGCATTTAGGCCAGGCTGGGTCAGGTCAGGTCACGTTATATAACCTGTAGGTGTCCTGCCGGCTATCCATAGGAGGTGTCAACCACCATTGGCGGGCTCTTAACGTGCTCTAAATACACCAAGACTGCTTTGTAAAGGCTCAAATTGATGCTAAATTCAATATCAGCTCCAAAAACTATCCTCGAAATATGTTAAACTCTAAACGGTGAACCTAGGTCATCTATGGTCAATGATCATGACCATAGATGATCCATAGATGACCTTGACTTTCACGTGATCTTGACACCCGCCATACTGCATGGGACCAACATCATTTTACATGTTTGAACGTAAAAAACACAAAAAGACTGGAAACGCGCAGATATTGTGAGCCGACTTAAAAGCCGAATCGCGATTCCGGGCAAACATGGTCTCGAGAAACAAGTTACAGGTCAAAGGTCATTTGAGTCAGGGCCGTGATATTTTAAGAGTAGATGCAAAATTGATCAACTGGAGGGTAATGAAGTTTCGTCGCAAAAGGCCGCTTTTTTGTGCAAATTATTTGCGAAAAACCGAGGCTTGTCTATCCGACCCCTCCCCTATAAGTGCGAGGGCTAATACTGGTTTCATGCTGTTCCTCCTCTGGATCAGCCGGGTCGAATAATATGTGATATAAACCACATGCTTATGAACTTAAGAACTTAAGATTTCTGAGCTCATTGAAGCTTTTTATTTTGCTTTGTTTTGCTTGAACAAAACTTTACCTACGCCAAAACCTTTGACGAGCTCTAGAGATGTTGTACATGTATATCTCCCCATAAACCTGTGTAAACATTGATGTAGAGCCAGACAACTTACGCAAAGGCAAAATTTCTTATGAAACTAGTGTTTCTTTTCGTCATAGGAGCCAATCGCCAGGGGGGGGGGGGGGGGTCATACCAACCGCCTTGGGCTATGAAGCAGACGCCTTCTGGCGAGGGAAAATATCCCTCGTTTGTTTTAACCCGCGCCCTGCTGGGGGGTGTTTGAACACCCCCCTTGTGGTTTTTCGCGAATATCTCAAAAACAGCGGCGCGGAGCGCCGCCGTTTTTGGTACACCTTATCATACATCAATTCTACACATGTTGTGAAAATTTCAGACCAAGGTCATTCAAGGTCAGGTCACCAGGTCACTTGAAGTGACCTCACCTCATAAAAAGTTTCAATGTCTGTCATAGCTACACCGAGTGACCGATCGCTTTGAAACTTTTAGCGATTGCTAAGAGCAATAGCATGTACAAAATGTATATCTCAGAATTTTGATATCGATGACCTAAGGTCAGGTCAATTTTGCGACCTCCCCATTATAAGTCAATGGGAGAAAATTGAAATGCGCCTATTTTGGACGAAAGACATTATAAACACTCCCAAACACTGAATTACAAGTGGTTTAGACACACTGAACATGAAAATGGTGTCCGTGACCCCTGTTTATGCCCTGAGGTCATCTTAGGTCACGAATAGTATCTAACAGTTTTTCGCAAATAACTTTTGATAGAGGCATGCTAGAACGATGAAAACGCCTTAGATGTGTTCAGCTCGACGATACCGATCGACTGATATGCAACATGACCCTTTCCGGTCAGGTCATGACCTTGACCTGAGGTCAAATTTTCAAGCTGACCTTTCAAGGTCAAGTTATAGTTCATGCGATGCGTCTTGACGAGAGGAACACGATGCCGGTAAAAGTAAGCTCGTACAAGGCTTGAGTCAAAAGTTATTGCAGAAAAACCGTTTCCGAAAAAATCGGCTATTTTTGCAGTTTTTGCCCCCTGCAGGCAAAACAGTTGACGTTAGGTCAAATCTGAGAAAATTACTCAGAAAGGGCGTTAATAGGGCTATCGAATGCGCTTTTCCGCGGCGCTGTAGCTCTATTGGTTCCCGAGTTATGCGTTGGCTTCTTGGAAATTGTCGACATTCGACCTTGAAATCGGCGAAATTTTGCCTTCAATGACCTCTGGTGACCTGACCTTTGATCTGACCAAAAAATTGACCGAAGTGATTTCCTCATTATTTTTGACGCTCTTTCGAACGCCGCCTTCCGCGTGTCGCTACGTGGCCCAGGAGCCGAGTTAGAAGGGGGGGGGGTGTTCAAACACCCCCCCCCCCCCCAGCAGGGCGTGGAAATCCAGGACCCCCAGCCGGGCGCGGGTTAAAGATAGCTCAGGACAAAATTAACTTCTGTTGGTGTTAACACTTTGCTAGAGGACATATTTTATCTGTGTGTTCAATGTTCATCGATGTTCAATAGTGGATCGTATATGTACGGCCCTCCAGGTATTAAGTGGTTGGTTGCCAACATCACAATAATCGATCTGCGTTGATGAATACGTCTAATGGCTGTTGAAAACCATTGCCGAAATGTGCGCAAGAGCACTCTTCTCATTTGTATTGAGTCATTTTATAGAAGTGTCTCCATCATTTAACCCACGCCCCAGTGGCAGTCTCAGCCAACTTCGTCCTAGTGTTGGGGGGGGGGGCATATGTTACCACCCACCTCTAACTCAAAAACTAAGATGGCTAGAAAGACGCGGTAAAAAGCAGTCGATAGCTCTCAATGCGTAAGTTTGAAAGTATTTCGGTCATTTTTTCATCTCAGAGCAATATCGGGGTCACTGGAGGTCATATAAGGTCAAAAGTTGCCAAATGTCATTATATTTTTTCAGAAAACATGCACTTATCTCAGGAGCTATGATAGCTAGAAAAACGCATGGAACGTCGAGTCTTGAGACGAGCAAGCACTTGCTTCTACAAATGCAATGCTTAGCTGTCCTCACTTATATAGGAAGAAAAGAAAGAATACATGGCAAGTATCTGCAGACGAAAATTTCAACAACCAAAAAACTTGTTAAACGGTAATTTTAGTTCTTATTTCTTGCAAATATTTTTAGCAATGCTGGTTTTACTTCAGCCAGCTAAGATCAACTGGTTTTACCAGCGATCGGCTGTACTGCGGCAGTCTATCTCACGGCGCTTAGCTGTACTGCGGCACAGTCTACCTAACGGCGTTTAGCTGTGCTGCGGCACAGTCTATCTCTCGGCGTTAAGCTGTACTGCGGTACAGTCTATCTCGCGGCGTTTGGCTGTGCTGCGGTACAGCCTACTTCACGGCGCTTGGCTGTACTACAGCACAGCTTATTTCTTGGCGTTTGGCTGCGGCTCCGTTACAGTTTCTCTTTTTTCTCCAGCGCTTAGCTATAATGCGGCACAATCTACGAGCATCTCACGGCGTGTGGCTGGAGTGCGGCATAATCTCATGGCTTTTAGCTACAATGCGACACAGTTCATCGAACGGCGTTTAGCTGTTTTGCAAAGCAGTCTGTCTCAACGGTTAAACGGTGTTTAGAAACCACGGTGCCTATAAACCGCGTCGTATGCTGTAGAAAAAAGGACTTGAAAGTAAGTCATAAATCCAATTGCATGAGTATTCGAAGTTAACAAATATTATGTTTGTGTGCCAATTTGGGAAAAATATCAGTTGGTGAGACAGGTATTTTATAGAAATGTTGTTTTCCATTTGTACTGCCATTTTGTCCTAAAGTGGTAACTTAACGTGTTTTTCATTACTAAGACTAACCAGAGGAAAAAGCATTCACAGCTTCCGAAAAAAGTACTACTTTATACAGAAAACACGAACTCGCACTACTCTAGCCAGCATAGCTGTTTCAAAATATGCATGGAATTCAAGAGCAAGCCTCGATCGTTCTACAAACAGGCAAAGCCATACCTGTTGCCCTTCACTTATACTCGTACGTCACAGCTAAACCTCTTCTATTGGGATCACCGGAGGACGTCAGCCCAACACTGACACCAGGCACCCAGGTGACACGCTGTGAGCGTTCTTAGCGCCTGTATGCGTTCTCTGCGCCTGTACGCGTTCTCCTTGCACTCACCTCAGTTGTTTGTGAGTTTGAGTTGAGCAGCAGCGCCGCTGAGGAGGCGGTGGTGGCGGACGGAGCCGACTTCAGTGCCGACACGACGACACCCGGCCAACAAGTGAGACCACCGTCCAGGCTACTGCTGCTCTCGCTCATCTCCAATGAACGCTTATAATTCGCCCGACGGTGACGTCACTGGCCACGCCCCTTTGGTATGACGTCACCGCGGCGTGGGAGGACGAGGGTGGCACGGGGAGGAGCCTGTCCACGGGGCGCCACTAGGGTGCGGCCAGACGTGCCCACCAGCCTCCTGGACGCATTCCCACGTCAAAATGACGAGCTAGATTTCCGTTCTGTGTTTATTTTGGGGATTAGTTCGGAGTGTTTCGTGACCCACGCTCGATGAAATTTTCGGAAATTGAATTGGCGCACTCCTTATCCCGCGCCCCGCTGGGGGGGGGGGCAGAATCTGCCCCCCCTCCCGTTTTTCGCCAATAACTTCTAAACGCGTTACGCCAGCGACGTCAAACTTTCAGTACCTTATCATACATCAATTTGACACGTTCCCTGAAAATTTGAACGAAATCCGTCGGACAGTTTTTGAGAAATTGACGTTTTAGTGACGTCATGTTCGCCATTTTCGCCTCAAAAACGGCAAAATTTCAAACGCCGCTAACATCTTCATTTTTAAAGGAATCAAGACGTAACAAAAAAGGTTATACGTGATTCCACGTTGTCTATCAAATGGCTATCTCGGTTTTTTGGAAATTTTGGATTTTAGCCCAAAATTTTTCAAAAAACTAATTTTTTTTTTCAAAAAATAGTTATAAAATCCAAAATTTTGAGTGTATCGAAAAAACCAGAATATGTGTCAGAGAAGTGGTCAATGTGCATCTACATACCAATTTTCAGAAGAATCGGTTCAAAAATGTGGGAGTTATTCAAAATTTTATGACGTCACGACACACAAAATTTTTGAAAAATGATTTTTTTGGAAGTTCTAGACCTCGTACGGAAACAAAAATAGCACCATTCGATTCGCCGTGAAAAACTGCATCAGATAGACACCTTTTTGGGCCTTAACAACCAGCTTCAAAATTTGACCTCACTTGACCTGACCTTGACCTGACCTCGACCTGAAATTCATCCAGAGGTGGTCCATATCACTTATTGAGTGTGCCTATTGAATTCTATGAGTAAAATGAACCATAAAACATGTGTCGCACATGCCCTTTTCTATATTTTGTTTTTGGTGACCTGACCTGACCTGACCTGACCTTGAACTTGACCTTTGAATGACATTGTATGCAACGAATATTGTCTTGGTAGTCTAAGAACACGTTTTGGGCAATCGGTCTCAGTCCATTCTTCGGCAACTACGGTGCAAGGCCGATACTGTAGAAACTTGCATTTTGTACCCTTGACCTGACCTTGACCTGACCTCTGACCTACTTAAGCAAAAAATTTTGGGCTCTTAAGATCCGCCTTGTTGAGAGCTTTCGATTGCCGTTTTCCCCGTCTTTCTACGACCATCGGTTCGGAAGTTAGACAGGGGGGGCAGAATCTGCCCCCCCCCCCCCCAGCAGGGCGCGTATGGCTGAATAGCCCAGCGGGGCGCGGGTTATCCGTCATCACTGGTGCAAAGTGTAACATTATCTTCATCAAAGTAATTAGACATCTTGATAAAATAGCATTCACTATTGGAGATATTGATAGAATAGTTAGTCCATGAGGAGGGATATTTTTGCATTTGTAATAGGGTTAAATTCTACTTGACTTTGTAACGATTTATACATATGCGCTCTTATGCTTATTTTGGTGTAGCTAACACATTTGATTGTGAAGTAATCAAAGAAGGTTAGAAGAATTATGGTGCGGCTACGTATGTTCCATATTAATATTCTCTTACGCTTTTCATTTTCTTTCTAACCGTCGGCTTTGCTGTTAATTCTTGATGTATCTTCTTCAGCTCACTACGATTCGCTATCCGACTGTGTTTCAGTGTCAGCGTTGTTTGTTTAGCGCTCTCTTCGTCCATATCTGTCCGCCGGGCACAGCGGTCCAGCCAAGGTCCAGCCCACGCTCGAACCATTCAATTGCCCTGACTGTGGTGCGCCTGCCCTGCGTCCGACCCGTTTCAGTTGTCAATGCCAGTGTGTATAAAATGTGAATCTCGGATTTTTCATGTATGTAACCCAAGGTCAGGTCAATTTTGCGACCTCTCCATTATAAGTTAACCCTCGCCCTGGCAGGGGGTGGTCGATGCGACCCCCCCCCTAAGGTTTTTCGAAGATAGCGTAAAAACGGCGGCGCACAGCGCCGCCAAATTTGGCACAGCCTATGGGGCAACCTTTTTACATATGACCTGAAAATTTCAGGTCCAGGTGACCTTGGGTCAGGTCACCAGGTCAGAAAAACCGGTACAAGTTCATGGTCAAATTTTAATTTTCTTTTTGCACCTGTCCAACTCACAGTTTTGGACTGATTTCCTTCAAACTTTCAGGATGTGCTAAGTTCACCGAGTTGTATAGCATATAGTTCGTTTTTTTTAGGTCACTGACCTGAGGTCAGTTAGAGGTCATTACGTCGTAATGTTAAGCCTATGAGAAAATACTAAATTCGGAAAATACTGGAGATATCCGCTTCGTTCTATCACTTTTGTGCTTTGAAACCACAGTACTTAACAGCAGGTCACTTGGTGCTTCTTTGTTTGGTGTACTTATCCATGGGTCAGGCCAAATGAGGTTAACTGAGGTCAAATGACGTTTTTGCCAATAACTTGGCACATAATGACGCTAGAGCTTAACAAATGGTATCATCGTGTTCCTGGTGATCAGCCGAATCGGATGATATGCGATATGATGCAATTTGGTTACATTGAACGTAATTTATTAATTTAAGTTTACTTAACCCTCGCCCGTAAACGGCGATCTGCCACCTTCGCCCATGCAGGGGGGGGGTTGGTGCGACCCCCCCCTTGGCGTTTGAAAACGGAGCGTCGTAGAGCTTAGCGGAAAAGACCAACGGATTGCTCTCGCCGAGATCTCGCGATTGGTGGTATATTTTTTGGTCCTAGGTCAACATTTGACCTACTTTTGACCGGTCAAAGGTCAAATTTTCGGAAAAATAGACTTTTTCAAATTTTCCGCGGCGATTGCGGCAAAACGGTGGGAGATATCGACTTGAAACCTTCACTATCGTGTTCCTTGATCAATTCTCTATCGTTTGGTATGTATTTCGTTTCCCTAGCTCTAAAAATGGCGCGTTGGGAGCGCCGGAAGTCGGCAAGGTCACAGTCGGCGGCAGAAATTCGAAAAATCAAAATTTAAATTTTTGAAATCTGATTGTATTTTTGGATTTGGGATGTTCATTTGCTCCCTATAGAAGCTAATATTGCTGCATATTCCCATTGAGGTGACAAGAATTAGCAAAATAGTGGTTCGGGCGCTTTTCAAAAATAGTACCGGACGCTGTTCCTTTTGTGACGTCATAGCTCCGTGACCTGACCTGACCCGGTCAAGTTTCTTATACCATATGATAGCCAATACTTGCCCCAACATGCATGGGAAGTTTCATCACGATCCATCAACCGATGTCCGTACCACCGGCAGGAAACCTCGGGCGTTGGCACTCAGTTTGTGAAAATCCGGCCGGAGGCTGTTCCCTTTGTGACGTCATAACTCCGTGACCTGACATGACCCGGTCAAATTTTTTTTTATCAAAAGATGCGCAAGGTTTGCCCCATAAGGTACCCAAAATTTGGCGGCGCTGCGCGCCGCCGTTTTTGCACTATTTCCGAAAAACCTCAGGGGGGGGGTTGCACCAACCCCCCCCCTACATGGGCGAGGGTTAAAATTTAATAAAAACTTTAAGTACACTTAAGCAAGCTAAAAGGCATATCATTCGACGCGCTTTGACGTGCTGAGTTCACCAGTGCTTTTCTTTTTGCTCTATCTTAATTAGATCAAAAGTTATAAGCGAAAAACTTTTGACCTGTTTTTAGCGAAATTTTTACATTTATACCCCCCAAAACCCCCCTAAATATTGACCTAGAGCAACCAAATTTTTACAGGGGCGAGAACTCCAGGGGGCCCACCTACCTACCAAATTTGGTGTTTCTAGGTGCCATAGGAGCCAATCGCGAGGGGGGGTCGCATCGACCCCCCCCCCCTGCCAGGCCGTGTTATGAAAAATGCCCTGCCAGGGCGAGGGTTAATGGGAGAAAATTGAAATGCGCCTCTTTGGGACAAATGTCATTCAAACCCCTCTCAAACATCAGTTCATAGGTAAAAATGACACCCTGAATCGGAAAAAATGCACCTGTGACCCCTCTGTGTGGCCCTGAGGACATCTCAGGTCATGAACGGTCACCAGCAGTTTTTTGGCGATAACTTTTGATAGAGACGTGCTAAAATGGTGAAAACACGTCGAAAGTGCTCAGCTCGACGATACAAATCGACAGATGTGCAGCATGACCCTTTTCGGTCAGGACATGACCTTGACCTGGGCTCAAATTCTTAAAAAGACCTTTCAAGGTCAACGTATAGTTTACTCGACGCATCTCGACGAGAGGAACACGATGCTGGCAAAAGTAATATTGTGGCTCTCTTGAGTCCAAAGGTATTACCGATAACCATTGTTCGTGAAAACGGCTTTTTTTCCCTCTGGAGGCTAAACCGTTGACATGAGGTCAAATCTGAGGAAAATAGTCAGAAAGGTCTGTAAAAGGGCTATCAAATCACAAATGTGCTTTCCGCGGCGCTGTAGCTCTACATATTGGTTCCCGAGCTAGCCGTTGGAAGTTTCCAAAGTTGTTGAAATTGACTACATAAATTTGATCGTTGATGGCCTCTGGTGACCTAACCTTTGACCTGACTCAAAAAATTACCAAGTTTTTCGTAATTATTTTTGACGTTCTTTCGATTGCCGCTTACCGCGTGTCACTACGTGGCCCAGGAGCCGAGTTAGAGGGGGGGCGTGAAAACGCCAGCCCCCCAACAAGACACGGAAAACACCTCGCCCGCACATGGGGGGGGGGTTGCCACCCCCTAGGTAGTTTTTCTGCTCTGCACTCAACATTCTTAGAGCTAGAAGCCTGATTTTTCGTATAGCTGCTCTTCTATCCTTTTTGATGTCCACTGAAAATTTAAAGGTTTCTGTGATTTTGGTTTCGGAGATATGACCTTGCTCTTCATGTCATGTCATGACCCAAATGACAAATAATCAATATCTTGCGTTGGCTATTGGTCTTGTGAGCTTTTGACACCTTTATTTCGGCCTTTTTTGCCAGTCTTTACCTCCCACCAATCATGGAACATGTTGTTCAACGATGTACAGATGTCAATGTCAGGGTCAAGGTAAACCTAGGTCATCTAAAAACATTGCGTTTCAGGCAAGCTGAATTTACTTTTGGTTAAGTTTATTTGACTGTATTTTTGGTAAAAGCTTCTCATCTCATGATCTCATGTAATATGGACACATAAACAATCGGTGCACACATCAGTATACACACATACACACACAGACATACAAACACATATCATTGACCTTGACCTAACTTGACCTGAAATGACCTTAGGAGCAAAACCCTGGTCGGATAGTGTGACAGAGAGCCGAGGTTCTAGCTTGCTTGGCAGCACAAAACGGCATCGTCATCGGTATATGGTGAGCAGCGCACTTGATATCCAACGGTGACCCAAAACAGCAACATTTTTAGTTTGACCTGACCTGGAAGGTCGATGACTGACCTGAGAAGGTAAAACTGGGTATCATTTTGTATCTTCCCAAAAAATCTTTTTGGTCTTTACCGCGAAGCTCTATCTCCAACAGAAACGAAATGGCGCGGGGGGATGGCAACCCCCCCCCCCCCATGTGCGTTCAAAATAGCATAGCAGGATGGCAAAATAGCATGTGCGGGCGTGGGTTAACCATCGTGCTCTGTGCTTCCTTTACGTCTTATCAATGTCTGTGTTCTGCTCTTCAGAAATGGCCACAAATAACGTCTACGTCTGGACGATTATTCATTATGAAGTGGGTAGGTACCGCGGCAACAGGCAAGGCATGCAAAGTTTCGTCTGTCTTTCTGTAAGACATTCCGATGCGAAAAAAGTGTCAGGCCCGCAACAATCCCGATGGAGGGGTGTCCGGAGGCTTGCAGCCATTATATTATGAACATCAAACATTTTTTTGCAAGACTTCCATTAACACAGCACAACGTAGACGTATAATAATGTCATTCTCATTCTCGACATTTTGGCTGTCTTCCTGTGTTAGCATGGATGAGGAAACACTCAATTGATCCGCATGAAATATCTATTTAATAATTAGCATAATGTGTATTACACACTGAAATTCACACTGAATCTGACACATAAGAGTTCAGTGGGAATACATGCTGGCTCATAAACTTGCAGGTGAATGTAGCGTACTGTCGTACCCGAAGGTATCTTGCACTCACTTCAAAATGGGCTTAACAACAACAGACACCCCCCTTATTCACGTAACAGATCACAATCGCGTATGCTACCAGTTACTTGAATCACCTTTTCATTGTGACAACGATGCGATGGACCAAAACTTACAGAATACCTAAGTAAGCGGGAAAAACAGGGCACCTGCAACAAAGCCAGTCGCAGTTAGCACCACGACGGGTGGGCGTGCAATATTTCCCCGACTCGGCCGGCCGCTCACAGCCATTGTCATTACCTCACTGAGTTGTTGGCACTGCAATCACGCGAACGCCCTGACGACGGTGTCGGCCACGCCGTTTCCTGACCAGCAAGACAGTGCCCGGGATGAAAAGAAGTCGGCGTACACGTTTTCCTGAAACAAAGAGACGAGTTATTGAAGCGATTGGTGAAAGGACGAAATTGTTGAGGTTTTCAGAGTTTTTTAACTGTCATCAAACACATGATATACTTATAGTACATATTTCCCCTTTATTGGAACATTTTAACAACAAAACAAGCAAACCAACAAAAACATGGAACTCTCCGGCTCACTGTTTTTTTGTTTTTTTTTTACCAAGCAGCGCAGATCGCATCTTGTGGGTTTCGTCATGTGACAAAAGACCCCACATAAGTAAAAAAAAAATGCTCGCATTGCCCCCCCCCCACTCATATTTTCTTAGTCTCACATTTCGCCTTCCATACTGCCTGATACCGCCTGTGGTTCTTCGCCGATCTTTGCTGCAGACAGACACTCACATAAATTGATGGGCAGTTCTGTCGAGCATACCACTCGGCAGCGTAAAAGGCAAGGTCAATTCCGATTCCCAGGGAGAGCGTCATCCACAGCAGAACGTTTCCTCCGGCACTGCGCACGTTGAAAAAGTGCAACAGAACTGCAACAGGGAACATGACGAGGTAACAGCAGAATCATTTACACGTCATGATGATCTCTGTCTTCTCTTTTGTCTTTCCATTTGCCACATTATTGCACGATTCATAACAAACATCTCGTCTTTTATAACAAAATGCGGTTTTCGAGTCAACGATATTCCAACCGACCAAAGGCTGACCAGAAAATTTACTCAGCCACATAATCGTAGTTCACAATCTTGAAGCATATGCTCGCTATATGTATTCCTCACCTCCAAATACGCCAAACTGGATAAACAGTACCGGGAAGCAGAAATTGAAGACCAGCATCAGTGTGTACTCGTGAACGATTGAAGAGACCACGAAAACCGACAGAGTGGCCAAAAACTTCCCTCGAAGGCGGGCCACGTCCTGAAATAAGCGACATCATTAAAGTATAAGCATATGACGGAAGCACAACTAACGATCATTTGTGAATTGTGTTAATTAGCCTAGCCGTAAGAGCACGAGAAGGCATAGCAGACAAGCTATTGCGAGATGCGACTACGTTTCGCTCAGTTATGTTACACAAAGGAAATGCAGCTTTCTTTCAATGATGCTTATACTCCTTAGTGCCCTTGCGAGTATCATAGTTATGAGCATATGAGTGCAATTATTTTATAAGCAAAACGTTTAACCTATTTCGGATATTAGATATCAGCCCAAATGAGTTACTTGAAAATTACTCATTATTTTGTAATTTTTTCAGACGGCAGACAATGATCAAACATATAATGACATGTCGACCAATATATCACAAAAAAGAGTTATTTTTAACTATTTCATTTCGGCTGGTAATATTCAAGGAAAAATCAAGTACTTCGCATAGCTGTAGTAATTTCTTGTATCATTTCAGTGCTTTGTTCCTAAGTTATGCTTAAAATGAAACTCTTGAGTTTCCAACGTGCATTTATCAGAACTGCCGGTAAAGGACAAAAGTTCCCCTCCCGTACCGTTCGTAGTGACTCGTACCGTGTATATGTATTCATACAGCCAATCGTGAACCACGATATTCCAGGTCCGATAGAAGCTCGCGTAGTTGGTCACGTTCCACCAATCCTGCAGCGTTGTTACAGTAGGTCAAGTGGCGCCAATTAAAACAGCGGTGGAATCAACAGACTGTCAAGTGGCTAAACAAACCGAAACAGTCGGCGGAAATTGTCAGGGACGGCGGAAGTTAGTTTTTGTAATGATCACGTCTGCTATTCATCCATGTTGGAGAAAGGAGGTTGTGACTAAAATTATGCTTTGTCCCGTATTGATTGCTACCGTACTCTGCATTCAAAGAAGTCTGTCTACGACCAGCTAAACTTACGGGAAGTGATCCATGATCATAATGCTATTGCAAAAAAAACATATTACCAATACGTGATACGATATTGGTGAGTGATATGTGTGCAATACCATGCAATTGGGACAACATACTGTCGTCAATACAACGAACCTATGTCAACCGCATACGACACTTCTATCTGCCGCCCCATCCAACGTACCCGGTAGAACATCCTATCAGCAAAGCGCGTCATCTCTGCGAACGCGTTCATCCAGGCGTGCAGCAGCGCGAAGAAGGCGCACAGGTAGCACAGCATGCCGGGCATCACGCTGCCGAAGACGTGTACCACCAGGTGCCGCCAGGTCATCTGTCCCAGGCCGTACCGCTGGAAGGGCGGCAGCACCAGCCGCTCCAGCAGGAAGGCGGTGTAGACCACGCAGCCGACCACCTGGCCGAAATGGAGAGCCACCAGCCGCCACCGCACCTGACTGGTCCTGGGTGTGGGGGGCGTTGGGGTGAGGTCAGAAGTGAGATATGAGTGCTGAATGTGATTTTCCATGTATGACAGAACATTTTGATATTTACGCTGATTTGCCACATTTATCATGTATTTATATTGTTCAGGCGTTTCATATATCTGATATAGACCACGCCGGGTATATAGACCGTGATATAGACCGGCCATTTATATCACCTCGCCCGTTGCTTTATCTAAGTCGCTGGTGAGCAGCCGTCTGTGCGAGTCTAAATTTCCATCACATTTCTGTGTCGCTGTTACATCCCAATGCGTTCTTTCGCACAAGTAACTGCAATATCGCGCAGTGTTCTGGGAAGATCTATGACACAACTGACGTTTTATTAACCAAGCAGTATAAGTTAGACACTACCGTCGCACCAGCCTGTGCCATAGCGGAGCAGATTGGCTCCGGTGGCGTCACCTAGACCGAGGGCGGTGGTGTGGCAGACGGAGGCGACATCTCTCAACTGTCGAGACCTGAGAGGCCCTAGATCTATGCAAGTACATTATGTAAGTTCACTGCCGACCTAGTGCACACCTTACACTCGTTTACCGTCGAGATGATGGAGGAGTTACATCCGATCACCGCTGATCTGATGCAGTCCCTATACCCGTTAGTGTAGTTGACCTGTAGCGAGTGATCCACTTCCATCGATCTTTGAGTATTGTATCATTAGACCGAAAGGGTCTTGTCCCATTGGACCCAACATACCAAAATGACTTTCGTCACCTCCTTCGGGTCTAAATTCAAAAGGATCAAAAATGCTTACAACAGCTTCCATACGCCGCACTTGCCTGGGATAGCTGTCACGATAGACGAGGGTTGGAACGAACAGATAGAACAAAAACTTGTTGAAGTTTGGACATCGGTCAGACTCCTTAGTTTCCGATGCCATTGCCATTGGAGCGTTCGATCGCACGAACCCGTACACCTTCATAAAGAGACGAATCTGAAAGGAGAAAATAAGCGGCATAATAATGCATCGTTAAGTTAGAAAATAAAGGCAAAAAAAAAACAAAAAAAAAAACACTTCGCAAAAAAAGATCCATAACAATATTTTCATCAGATACACTTCGTAACTGCTTTTCAGTTTTCCCTGTTTCGATCAGGAGGCGCATGAAGTTAGGCATTGGCGGAAAAAAGACTCCTGCTGAGCTATTTTTACCCCACCCTGAATCAGCAGAGCGTCCATTGTATATCAGTTCTATCTATACCTGCTCCAAGATGACAATGAATGAAGAAGCCGGGGGCAGTCGATGGTGGAGCACCTGCTCGGCGGGCAGATACAAAAGGCAGCCGCAGTAGGCGACGAACATCGAGCCAAACAGCCAGTCAAACAGCGCTGGAAACGCGCACAGCCATTTAAAAATGCTGATTGCGGGTCAACGGATCAGCGGAAAACGAACGGTGCATTAGCAAAAAAATAACGAATAAGATTTCGTTGAACGCTAGACCTAGTCCAAGATTGGTATATCATGACTGAATATAAATAAAATGCTCTTAGTGACTGTTGAGTATTCATCATTTTGACTGCATGATTGAAACCTTACATAGCCTTAAATTCGTATTCAAGTATCCATCAGTGGTTTTCCGTGGCTGCTATTGCATAGATATTGATCTATCGGCATGACACCACACTCGAACCAACTCTACACTCGAGATAGGAACCGTATATAGCCATTATCTACCGTCATTGACATTGAGATCGAGGGCGGGACGGACTCTATGCCTCCGTGGACTCTGATCTACTACGATTTTTATCATACCAGCGTGCGATAACACAGCCGCAAAAACTACAACTCTGGCTTAAGCCACATGTGTTCACACATTACTTACCTGGGTTTGAGGAGCGGTGAGAGGCCCAAAAGTGAAACAAGGGATAGACGATGAACACAGCCGAACAGAACATCATGAGCCAGAGTTCTGCCGTCAGTCGCACCTCTCCGAACGCGTACACGATGATGTTGAGACTCAGCTGTATTCTACCGCAGCCGAAGACGGCATAAGAAGTGATGTCACATGTGATGACGTCATTAGAGGGGGAAGGGCCTCATGGGCATGGTCAGCGGTTGCAAAGCTAATAGCAAAGCGTAGAGTAAGCTAAGAAATTCAAGTGCAATACAAGCACATGAAAAGTGAAAAGTACAAAGCTATTCACTGATTATTGCTAACTTTTTTAAAAATAAATTTTCACATCCGTCAGTTATTATCAAGCAATTTGAAAAGAGAAGAAGTGATTAGAGAAACATTAATAACGTGCAATAGATCAACATCGATGATCATTTGTTTTGACGTTACGAAATAATTCCAAATGTATTCAATTGAAATTAAGAAAATTATTCTGTAGAATGCCGTCACATTCCATCGATAAAACAATTGTCATGCACCGTCAACCAAACTCACAATCAAAACACTTACGAGTTAAGCTCAGCCAGGTCGTAGAGAATGGAGTGCAGAAACATCAGCGCCAGCATGGCCAGGAAGATGTGGTAGATTGTGCGGATGTGGCTGATCTCAAACAGCTCAGTGAGCAAAGACTCCCGCGCCACAAACTGTTTTCCCTTGCTCCTGAGGGACCCAGAAGAAAGACCAATAGTGCACACTGGACATCCGATATAATGCAAAATGGCGCGTACGAGAAAACTTGGCCCAATCTGAAATTTCGCATGAGTTCATGTTGCTGATCATTATTAAATACAATTTGTATCAATCAGTACAAGCTTCGTGTATCATCGCAAAGCACAATTATCATTGTTTAACTGTGGTTTAAATACAAAAACACACAATTTGCATACAAAGTCACTTAATCACCAAGCGGACACTTATGTGCACGTCTCACCGTTTGTGGCCTTTGACGTCTCCATTTTCGCGCGGTACAGAGACGTGTTCCAGACCAGCCAAATGCTGCTCCAGAATGGTGGAGAGTTGAGAGCGAAACTCTGAGGTGATGTCCTCCTGAAGAACCTTGAGAAGAAAAATTACTCGAGCATGAGTTGCTGACCCAATCTGTACCGCGATTCTGGGGTAAGGGCAACACATTGGACGAAGGCAGGAATTCCATAAGATTAGACACGACTGAAACGAATAAAGATTTTATTATGTTTCGAAATTGTCAGAATTTTCTAGGCATTCCGCATTCAAGTTGGTATGTTAGCATTTGTGTGGGTAAGCATAGACGCGATTTTAGTCTCGGGAGCTTCCCTCTTTCTTTTGTTACATTTAATATCAAATAAAATAGAAAATAAGCATTTTTATAAGATGTATTAGCCTTTCAGCACCATATCTACAAAGCTGAAGACGTAGGTGGCAAGAGCAAAGAACTTATTTGCTGCAATTAAATGTTACGCTGTTACAGACGCTATGGTACGGTACCAACCAACTATGCCACCAGAGTCGTACGCTACATTCAATATTCCGCTCTGCAATTTTTACCAGGAAATTTAATTAGCAAGCTGGTAGACTCGCATGGCCAGGGTTCTGTCCTTCCCAGAGTCCTCCGGATCACTTACTTGTATTCGGCTCCGAAGTTTGTCGACCTCCATATCCCTCGTCACTTTGCTGACGTAGATGCCGTTCTGGAACAGGTGAAACGCCTATTTCAGAACGCCTCCAAGTGACGAAGGTGAAAATCGTCTTCCCGTAACTCCTGAATGATGGGCTTCAACTTGTAACATTTACACATTAATGTCACTTCTTTTTATGAATGCACTTTGATGTCCCGAAAAAAACTCTCGTTTTCTCTTACGGAATACACTAGTTCAGTGGTCTCCAAAGCAGTTCGGAAACTGCTGTGACCTATGCGACAGCACGACTAGCTCTGCGTGATAATTCTCCAGTTCCCTCGTCACTGGCATACCCAGATATAAACAAACGAGATACTCAATCTGTGGACGGCCAATGCCCAGGCATCGACAGCGTAACTGGAAACGCCGGGAATGTTTACCGACTCATTGAACCAGAGAGGCGAAAAGGGCAACGGACGGAGAAGACCACCAAAAGGAGAACTGTATCATGGAAAGGATATATCTTTTCACTTTGTGCCAGTTTTGATAACAGACTGGGGAAAAAATGAAAAATGAATCGTCGTTTTGGCCAATGAAACATTATCATTTGCTGGCATTTCAAGATAATTGTCTTTTCCTCTCTAACTACGGGTGCATATTTTATCTAGAAAAATAAAATCAATTAATGTTTTCACTGGGTGTTGTAAGCCTTGCCATATATTATGCACAGAAAGAGACTGGAAGAATATTGATAACGCCTTGTACAACCAATTACTCCAATTGCCTGTTGAGTTTGAGGATAGCAATGTAGCATAAGCAGTGTTCGCCACGCCGGCCGCAAAATCCTAGTCCAGCCAGCCCAGACCCATGGGTTCACAGCCCGGCCCAGCCCGAGCCCATTCATGGTAAAAGCGTCAAAGCCCAGCCCGGCCCAGCCCGTCAAAAATGAATGGGTTAAAAATTATTGACACAGCACAGGTACCCAAAGGCAGCAAAGAAACAATATTTTGCGAGCCGCATGCATAATGCACATTGCATGCGTGCTTTATTGACTCGTTTTTTAGTCTTGCACAGTAATAAGCTACATATGTAGTTATAGTTTTTGTCTCAGTTGCGAACCCCTGACTCCACTTAACAGTTCCTGGCCCAGCCCATCCACAGCCCATCGATCCTTTATATTTGAGGGTCCAGCCCAGCCCGTAGCCCAGCCCAGCCCAGCCCGTAGCCCAGCCCAGCCCATGGCCCATTGGGCTGGCCCGGCCCATGGCGAACACTGCAATGTAGCACTTCAGTCAGTTTTGCTAGTAACATTAAATAATTCTGGGTTCTCAGCACCAATAGTTATACTGCTGCACGGTAGGAATAGACGACCTAACAAGCTTCTGGAACGGTGCTGGTCGATCAATACACATGTAGGTACTAAAGAAACAATATCTTATGGGTATTGCAACTGAACGAACAGATCAATAGTATAAGTCCGGGTGCTGAGCTTTTAGGTAACTTGGTCGTACGGCCGTAGGTGACGGGATAAATCTAGGTGATCATAAGTCCTCGTCACATCAGTTATAGTTCGAAGTGATTATTTTTACGTGTTCATAAATTACAGCATATCACGACACATACTGACAATGCTGCTGCTTGATTTGGACAGTAATACACGCCATTGACTTAACCCGGATGCTTTACATTGACCAACCAAACACTTCTCTCTACCCCCCACCCCCACCCACCCCCTCATAACGGTGGGTCGTCTGTCATACAAACCGCGCAACCATCGCTGAACACGTCTTAGTGCACGTGCACTCGCTCACCCGTCACAAGTCACGTGGTTGGAATTCTGCGCTCCGTCAATGAACTCTGCGAGGGACGGCGAGGGGGCGTCGGTTCTTGGTCGGCACTCGCTCCCCGGCACACCGCTCTGGACAGGGGAGCATTCGCAGTGACCGCAGAAATTGTGATATGGTCATGGTGTATCTGACTCCGCTATCGGGCAGCCATGCTCCTGACATCTGGTGGCACTACACGGAACTGTGATCAGATACGGGATAGATAAACCCTTATGAGAGTGATAGCGGCCTTAGACGGAATGGCGCCTCTGGAGGACTATGAGGACTATGTTGATGTAAGCGGGAGGCTGTTTCGCGCAGCAAAAGCAGAGGCAGTTTGGCTGACCAGTTGTGTTTGTACAATTTTCATGCAGGGTTGTCGCAAAGAAGATAGCTTGCGTGCTGTACTGAGCTCCCATGTCCAGTACCTTCTAAACTTGTGAAGAATCTGAAAATATTTGCTAACATGCGCATGTTGGCCAACTAATCTTTAACCCTCGCCCGCACATGGGGGGGGGGGGTGGTTGCCACCCCCCCCCCCCAGGTAGTCTTTCTGCTCTGCACTCAACATTTTCAGAGCTAGAAGGCTGATTTTTCGTATAGCTGCTCCTCTATCCTTTCTTGATGTCCACTGAAAATTTCAAGTTTCTGTGATTTTTGGTTTCGGAGATATGACCTTGTTTTTCAGGTCATGTCATGACCCAAATGGCCAATTCTCAACATCTTGCGTTTGCCATGGGCCTTGTGAGCTTTTGACACCCTGATTTCGGCCTTTTTTGCCAGTCTTACCTCCCACCTATCATGGAACATGTTGTTCGACGATGTACAGGGGTCAAGGTCAGGGTCAAGGTCAACCTAGGTCATCTAAGATAATTGCGTTTTAGGCAAGCTGAATTTACTTTTTTTTGAAGTTTTTTGACTGCATTTTTGGTAAAAGCTTCTCAGATCATGATTTCATGTAATATGGACCCAAAAACAATTGGTGCACACATCAGTATACACACAGACACACACAGACATACAAACACATATAATTGACCTTGACCTAACTTGACCTGAAATGACCTCAGCAGCAAAATTCTGGTCGGGTAGTGTGACAAAGAGGTTATAGCTGGCTTGGCACCAGAAAACAGCATCGTCATCGGTATTTGATAAGCAGCACACTTGATATCCAACGGTGACCCAAAACAGCAACATTTTTTAGTTTGACCTGACCTGGAAGGTCAATGACTGACCTGAGAAGGTAAAACTGGGTGTCATTGGATTCGTCTCTTCCCAAAGAATCTTTTTGGTCTTTACTGCTAAGCTCTATCTCCAACAGGAACGAAATGGCGCGGGGGGGGTGGCAACCACCCCCCCCCCCCCATGTGCGTTCTAGGATGGGAAAATGGCATGTGCGGGCGAGGGTTAATAAGTTAAATATGTCAGCTCAAAATAACGTACGGATGACGCCATGTTTTGCGATTTTAGATGGTATGATAAAACGATGTGATTGAATAACTGAATGTTACACCTGCAATTTGGAAATGAATTTTAAAAATTATGGAAAGAATTAAGGTTAAACTAAAAATAAATTGCAAAGTGCTGTGCTGATTTTTTAGCTTTTAGGATTTTTATGTTCCACTTCAGAAATGCTTTGTTTCATTGTTTGATAGTTCCTCGAAGTCCCACATTAAAAAGCAAATAATGTTTCGGCAGTTACTGCTGTTCAATCAGCATGCATGTGTTTAGCTCAAGAATAAAATAAGGAAGAGTTGCCCTAATTACACAGACTGCAAATATCCTAAATCTATCATTATTACGAATAGGTAAGTGCTATCATGAGTCAGATAATGATTATGCCAACTTATTTTGAGTAGCTTGTGATGGATTAAATAGAAAATGAGGTCTTAGTTGCTGCTATAATCCCGCTACATCAAAAAACGCCATACAATACACTATACCGGTAAAATGCGGGTAATCTTAAAAATGGTCTGATATATCTACTCGTAGGCAATATGCGTTAGACATGCCCCGTAACTCATATGACTAAGGCAATAGGCTGTTCATGCAACCCATTGCTGAGCGAGCGTTGTAGGCATTAACGTTTTCCAAATGAGTCTCCTTGCAGTAGCAAACGGTTCATCGTACCCAGGTCAATGTATTCAACCACCATAAACATCAAACCGTTTGCTTTCAATGTAAACGCTGCTCATCTCTATCCGATAAACGTCTTCAAAAGCTCTATATACCTTACTTGATAGTGTATCCATGATGTGCAGTGTTTGTTGGAGAGAATTGCAGCGCTAAATCTCTAATCGCACCTCTGGCACAGCTGAGTTACCGCACAGCTGACCCGCAGTTTGTCGTCGCGGCCCAAAACAAAATAGATTACAATATAATATTCATTATAGCACAGGTTAGCCTCAGCTGCAGCCTTCTGTCCCAGTCCACTTGCCCGGATGTCACCGGTCACTGCAAATCGTCACTTCACCACCAATAACCACTAATCTCTGTGTCACCGTGCCACTGTGCCGATTAACGGTCACAGATCACCAAAAGGTCACCCATTTCAGCAGCCCGTCCTATTGTTTCAACGATCACACTGCACCACTTGCGGCAGGCCCGGACAGGATATCACCAATGCTCGACTGAGCTTACGCCTCGCTCACAGCTCACAAATGCCCCACTCCCTCTCTCCCTCTCTCTGCCCTCTCCCGTCCTCTGACCAGTGGACGAAGGGCAAAGGTCACAGGCTGACCCACGAGACACTGCAGCGCTCGCTCGGTCGCGGTAGTATGGCCCGAAGCTCGCCGATGAGATTATTGGTGGCTGGTTGGTGTTACACCATGGATAGATGGAGAGCTGGTAAGTGTTCGACTCGTTTTGAATTTCAAAGAAACGATTCAATGTTCTTTTATTATTTCTCGTCTAGCTTCGGGCTATCTATTTAAATGATCTTGTCGTTATTGCACTCATAATTGAATCGGAAAAAGAATGATGTAAAGAAATTGAATGATGAAGCCGCTAAACTGAGCCATAGTCTGCAGTCTGTCGACCCAAGGTCATGGCCTAATTTTGATTTTGAAGCTGAAGTGAGGGTTTATCAAGATCAACAATGAACCAATCGGTACCACTTTATTGCTGAAATAGTTGCTTTTCTTAATCGTCGTTCGTGATTTGCCAACGTAAAGTATTTTCATCAGTTTTTTTGTATCATGTTATCCTCCTTTACCATATGCTGTTTCATTGTTGTGGAGGCTAAGGACCACAATTCATTGAAAGTGATCAGCATGGGGATAACGACAATGGTGGATGTAAGTACACTCGTATTTCATCACTACGCTCTTAAAGCCACGTCTGACCATCGACCCTGTAATGTTGCATCATTCTTCCACCCTGCAGTCCGGGAATTGCGTCCCACTGAACTTTACATGCATCCCAACCATCGTCATCTTTGGTCTGGCTTGTTATACGTTTATCCAGTAAACAAACCTTTGTAGTCACCTCATTAACCCGCGCCCCGCTGGGCTATTCAGCCATACGCGCCCTGCTGGGGGGGGGGGGGAGGGGGCAGATTCTGCCCCCCCCCGTCTAACTTCCGAGCTGATGGTCGTAGAAAGACGGGGAAAACGGCAATCGAAAGCTCTCAACAAGGCGGATCTTGAGAGCCCAATTTTTTTTTGCTTAAGTAGGTCAGAGGTCAGGTCAAGGTCGGGTCAAGGGCACACAATGCAAGTTTCTACAGTATCGGCCTTGCACCGTAGTTGCCGTGGAATGGACTGAGACTGATTGCCCAAAACGTGTTCTTAGACTACCACGACAATATTCGTTGCATACAATGTCATTCAAAGGTCAAGGTCAAGGTCAGGTCAGGTCAGGTCAGGTCAGGTCACCAAAAACAAAATATAGAAAAGGGCATGTGCGACACATGCTTTATGGGTCATTTTACTCATAGAATTTAATAGGTACATACACTCAATAAGTGATATGGACCACCTCTGGATGAATTTCAGGTCGAGGTCAGGTCAAGCTCAGGTCCCAGCCAGCAATTCGCTTGGGCTAAACCATGGCAAACCTCGGGCAGCTTGGGCTTAGCTTGGGTTTTCCCACTTCAATCAAAACCAATGCATTTTTTACTTGGGCTGAGCTTGGGCATGCCGCAGCTTTGCCCGAGTGTGGCCAGCTGCAGCTCAGCCCGACATCCGCCCGCGCAATCAAAGCAGGCTCAACTTGGGCGGAGCGCGGGCTGATCAAGCTGGTTGTCTCCTTTGGCTAACTGGACTAAAGCCGGAGTTGAGCCATACTTGATCGGCTGTTCACGCATGCGCATTTCTGCGCCAGTCACGTTTCGCTCGGGCTTACATCGGGCTAACGCCAATCGTCGCACAACTAGGGCTAAGCTACGGCTGTCCGGAGCTCGCAGAGCGGGCATACCTCCGGCGGAGCATGGGCTTTAGTCGGCGTTTTTGTGTCATACGCCGACTTCAGCCCAAGCCCTAGCCGACTTTAGCCTGACTAAAATCTCGGGCAAGCCGCACTTTAGCCTGCTTGGGCCCGGAGTAAAATTGCTGGCTGGGGTCAAGTAAGGTCAAATTTTGAAGTTGGTTGTTAAGGCCTAAAAAGGTGTCTATCTGATGCAGTTTTTCACGGCAAATCGAATGGTGCTATTTTGGTTCCGTACGAGGTCTAGAACTTAAAAAAAAATCATTTTTCAAAATTTTTGTGTGTCGTCATGTCATAAAATTTTAAATAAATCCCACATTTTTGAACCGATTCTTCTAAAAATTGGTATATAGGTGCATATAGACCACTTCTCTGACAAATATACCGTTTTTTTATACACTCAAATTTTTGGATTTTATAACTATTTTCCCAAAAAAGTCATTTTTTTAATGGGCCAAAATCCAAAATTGTCAAAAAACCGAGATAGCCATTTGATAGACAAAGTAGAATCACGTAGAACCTTTTTTGTTACGTCTTGATTCCTTTAAAAATGAAGATGTTAGCGGCGTTTGAAATTTTGCCGTTTTTGAGGCGAAAATGGCGAACATGACGTCACTAAAACGTCAATTTCTCAAAAATTTTCCGACGGATTTCGCTCAACTTTTCAGGAAACGTGTCAAATTGATGTATGATAAGGTACTGAAAGTTTGACGTCGCTGGCTTAAGGCGTTTAGAAGTTATTGAAGAAAAACGGGAGGGGGGCAGATTCTGCCCCCCCCCCCCCCCCAGCGGGGCGCGGGTTAAGATCGCGGCAGAGATTTCACTGGTAAGGCGCCGGGGATCCGGTAACACGGAACAAAGGTCGACGTTCCGGGCTACATCCAAACGCTCGTTTGACTTTGACCGCTGCAAGGAGCCGAATCGTCCAGCTCAGGTGCACTCCTGTGTACAGCCCCTCATATTTTCCATTCCGTACCGCCCATACTGCCTTGGACGTTGCATTTCAACTAATTGCCTTATGATAGTTTTGCCCCTCATTTTCCTTCCAATCGTCAACCGTGGGGCGAGCATTGAGCAAGCTGTTGCTGGCTTTAAATGTCGGCTATGATAAGATCTGGTTTGTTTGCTTGTTTGCTTGTTTGTCTCTTTTTGCATTTTACGCCACTTGGTTATAGTAACATCTGCACAGAATGACAATGCTAACAAAGGTATATACTATATACCTACGCAGTACGCACTCGTGTGAAACCTCATGATGGGAAACATTTTACAATATTCCATCATAGGACGCAGCAAGCTGACGACAACCGGTGCCGTCAAATCCTATTGCGCGACAAAGATTGGACCGATTACGGTATTTGTCCTAGCCAGACGAGTGTATGGAATTTTGGCGGAGGAGGTGCACGTCACTCTCTCTCTCCCTCCCTCCCTCTCTCTCTCTCTCTCTCTCTCTCTCTCTCTCTCTCTCTCTCTCTCTCTCTCTCTCTCTCTCTCTCTCTCTCTCTCTCTCCTTTATTATCTATTTCTCTTGTGCTATCCTCACTGTGTACTCCTTGGAACGGTCCGTCTTTGTATCCAATGGACTTAATCACCACGGCTGACATGATCTCGCTCTGAGCGAAACATAGCACCATCCAATTTGCAGCCATGCGTCACATGGTTCTGCGCGGCCATTCACTCCTGTGCTGATGAACTACATAAGTCGGACTGCGCTATATCCCGCGACCCGCTGGGGGGGGGGGAGAATCTGCCCCCCTCCCGTTTTTCGCCAATAACCTCTAAACGCGTTAAGCCAGCAACGTCAAACTGTCAATACCTCATCATAAATCAATTTAAGACGTTTCTTGAAAATTTGAGCGAAATCCGTCGGACATTTTTTTTTTGAGAAAATAATGTTTTAGTGATGTCATGTCCGCCATTTTCGCCTCAAAAACGGCAAAATTTCAAACGCCGTTAACATCTTCATTTTTGAAGGAATCAAGACGTAACAAAAAGGTGTTTCTACTTTGTGTTTCTACTTTGTCTATCAAACGGCTATCTCGGTTTTTGAAAATTTTGAATTTTGACCCAAATAAAAAAAAACTGATTTTTTGGGGAAATAATTATAAAATCCAAAACTTTGAGTGTATCGAAAAAACCGGAATATATGTCAGAGAAGTGGTCTATGTGCACCTAGATACCAATTTTTAGAAGAATCAATTAAAAAATGTGAGAATTATTCAAAATTTTATGACGTCACGACACAAATTTTTGAAAAATGATTTTTTTTAGAAGTTCTTGAACTCGTACGGAACCAAAAATAGGACCATTCGATTCGCCGTGAAAAACTGTATCAGGACACCTTTTTAGGCCTTATCAAACTGTATCAGGACACCTTTTTAGGCCTTATCAACTAACTTCAAAATTTGACCTCACTTGACCTGACCTGGACCTGATTTCGACCTGAAATTCATCCAGATGTGGTCCAAATCACTTATTGAGTGTGCCTATTGAATTCAATGATTAAAATGACCCATAAAACATGTGTCGCACATGCTCTTTTTTATATTTCGTTTTGGTGACCTAACCTGATCTTGACCTTGACCTATGCATGATCTTGTATGCAACGAATATTGTCTTGGTAGCTTAAGAACACATTTTGGGCAATCAGTCTCAGTCCATTCTTCGGCAACTACGGTGCAAGGCCGATACTGTAGAAACTTGCACTTTGTACCCTTGACCTGACCTTGACCTGACCTCTGACCTACTAAAGCAAAACAATTTTTGCTTGTTAGATCTGCCTTGTTGAGAGCTTTCGATTGCCGTTTTCCCGTCTTTCTACGACCATCGGTTCGGAAGTTAGAAAGGGGGGGCAGAATCTGCCCCCCCCGGCAGGGCGCGGGATATCGGGGTTGGTTAAAAGTTTATAAAAGCATTGGTGGTGTTCTCTCAGTGTGTCGGCGCTCAACTGATTTGATGGATAGCATATTGGGTTCGACTGAAGCCCTGTTGTCGATTAAGTGTACCCACTTTGGTCACTGCCTATGTTTGAAACCGCGTCTGTTTGACTTCCGTTATGGAGATCTTAGGCTTCGTGCCTTTCTCAAACTTCTCATTTATTCGGGAAGGTGTACTCTGATTTTCTAATTCTTCTAGGTAAGTGACCATGCCTGCAATTTGGAGATTGTTATAGGCTTTTGTGGCTCACACTCACCTTTTTACCGCAGTGCATCGGTTAGGTATAT